TAAGCAGCAACTGCTCCCACACGTGACCACGCTCCTTGTCACCCAGGTAGTGCACCTACAACGCCACAAAGCAAGCTTTTGACTCACTGGTCGCTTTCATTACCGTGTAGCGCCTCTCACACAAATGTGCTCTTGGTATCAGGTGTTACCATTAGCTGTTGACATTGGCTGTTGACATCAGCTGTTGGCTTCAGGTGGCAATAGCATCTGTCCAAGCAGCCGCGTAACTTACCTCGTCCATGATGACAGCCTCGATGTCGTCGATTGAGGCATTGCGCACCATGTTGAGGAGAATTTCAGTGGTCATGATTAAGATGCGTGAATTCACTGACACACTGATGTCGCCAGTCACCAGTCCCACATCGTCTCCAAATGTTTTCCTACAAGCATTAAATAGCATTTAAATAGATCCATCTCCATCTCCTCTAACATGCCAACCGCTCCACACTGGCTCCATTAACTAGCTAGATGCAAATGTCATTGGCAAAAGCAAAGAACAAGACGATGTTGCAGTGTGAATTCGAAGGGGCCAAATAGAGCTGCGAAGCACTACTATCAAATTAACTCGCATCCTGTGGCCAGGGGAAATCAATCATGGTGGCTGGCCATGCTGATCAGTGCATATGAGCAACAAGGAAGTCACAGACTGCATCAAGGTGCACGGCATACAAGCCAAACGGTCATGTTTACTTTGAAACAGTATTGCGAATGGCATTTCACACTGTCTTACCGAAAATCGCGGAATTTCTGATTAGATAGGGCTTTGATTGGACTGGTGTAGATTGCCCGTGATCCGTGTCGCTTGCACATTGCACAGGCGTATTCGGCTACCACAGTCTTGCCCGCCGAAGTGTGCGCAGCCACAAGAACGGACTGCTTGCGTTCTAGGCAGCGAATGGCCTGTTTCTGGAAGGTGTCCAATTCGAAGGGCCAATTGAGCGCCGGGTGTGGTATTAGCTCGGCCAATGTCGGCAGCCTCTCCGAGCTGTTCTCCTACACAAATTACATCCAAAGTAATGCCTTAGACAAACACTAGCACAGAATAGACTGCTGTAGATCGCCCACTCAAGTCTGGGGCCGACACTCAGACGTCTACTGACTTGAAATTCGAGACACTAAGTGTAACTAGCACCTACTGACTTCTTCTTGT